GAACAGTCACCCACTACAATCCAGAGCAAAAAATATAACAGGCAACATTTAAAGCGGATGAAGGCCCCAGCTCTCCCCTATTAAAGGAAATAGATATTACACTAACTCAAGCCACCTCGAATGGCCCTCAACTGTGCCTTCCATATCTGATGGCTGAGTGAAAACAGGGATAACTCCTTGTGTTGTGAAGTCCCTTCCCTTGTGGATCCTCAGGGGTGTTTGTCGCTGGATCAGAAGTTACTGGATGTGCAAATTTCTGCTGGAGACAAAACATGCAAAAACAAGAGGAAAGAAAATCAGAAACCATACTGTCTTATGCATACACTCATTTTAAGAACTCGCTTGAACAAGTTATTGTGCATCATTTTGTTGCGAATAGAGGGTTTGAAAAGAATGGGGCATAGTGTTATTAGCCATGTTGTGATGCTTAAAAATGAAATTCAGAAACTCTTCTCCTCTACCTCTGCACAAGGAACTTATCCAGGAGAGCTTTCCTCACTGACAGAAGCTGGAATTGTCAGTTGCTCTGCAGAGCAGCATTTTAAGCATGGTAGCTCCAGCCATGTGGCCTTGGTCCCAGCCTTGTCAGGGCCAACAAAAAGCAGTTTCTCAGGTGCATGTGAGCCACTCAGGTCCACTAGAAGGAAGTGACAAGTGACATGCGATAGTTACAGGAGACTACTGTCTTCTAGAGGAGTCAGAAGCCCCATATCTGCCAACAAGATTTATCATCTAGGGAGGTTTGCTGCTTGCCTGGGGCTGTCAAGGATGTTGTGCAGAGGCTACTGCGACTTATCTGACCCTCCACTATACAGTGCTGCTTTTTCATGCATGCACCAAAGGAACTGACGGGGGTGACCTGAGAAATATCAAGTGTGACTAGCAGGTTCCAGGAAACTGCTTAAGGCCATGGGCACCCAAGTATTGATTTTCTCTCTCGTACCCAAGGAGGATTCAGCAAGTACTATGGGTGAACCACCATTTGCACAGGTGCTATTCATAGCAGGCTTTTGATTTCCACAAACATGGTAGGTGTGGTGAGAATATGAAGAGTTTCAATAGACCTAAGCAGAGTGAAAGCTGGCAGGGAAAAATCGGTACTGTGGTACTGTTGTGGTGGGTATCTCCTGTATACCAGATCAGAGAAAACCAGAATAGGGAGGACCAGTTTAGGGAGTACTTCCACACACTGGATGTACACAAGTCCATGGGGCCAGATGGGTTGCACCCAAGTGTGCTGAGGGATAAGTCTGATGGCATTGCAAAGCCACCCTCAATGATCTTCAAAAGGTAGTGACGACTGGAAAAGATTGCAGATGACTGGCTGTCAGTCCTGTCTTCAGAAGAGGCAAAGAGGAAGATGCAAGGCCAGTCAGCCTTATGAAGTCCTTTGGAAGATGGTGGAGAAAATTCTCCTGAAGAGCATTTCCAAAGGCATGAAGAATCAGAAGGTGCTCAGTAGTCAGCCTGGATTTCTGAAGGGGAAATATAGAACTGTTTACACAACAAACCCAAAGCTGTTGAACCTCTCCCTTAGTGACCTGCAGAATGGGACAGAGTGCACCCTCAAGCAAGGTTGTAGAGCACATGAAAGTGGGAGGACTGGCAGTTGCAGCAGATGGCTATGCCATCATTCAGGGTGACCTCAACTGGGGAAATGCAGAACTGGGCAAGGAGGAAATTGATGAAGCTCAGCAAAGGCAATGGCACAGTCCTGCCTCTGGGGAGTAGCCGCATGCACTGGTACATGCTAGGGACTGTGCAGCTGGCAGGCAGCTTTGCTGAGAAATTCCTTGGGGTTCTGCTGGACAACAAGAAGTTGGAGTTTGAACCAGCAATGCTGGCCCGCTGAAAGAATGGCCAATAGTATCCTGCCATTCAGGTCGACAGAAGTCGTCCTTCCTCTCCTTCAGTGCTGGTAAGGTGGCATGTGGAGGAGTGCTGAGTCTAGTTCTGAGATGGCCAGTACAAGCAAGTTGTAGACACACTGGAGTAATGCCAGCACAGGCTCTGAGATCCTGCTCTGAAGTGGTGCTAGAGCATGCCCAAGTGGCGATTCCTAGCACCGGGGCTTTGTTCCAGGGCCCCCCTGCAGCTTGCAGCCACCCTGTGCCAGGGATGGATCCTGCCCAACCCCGGGGCCAACACAAGTGACCTCTGCTTCTCCCTGCAGGGCGAACAAGGGGGCGTCAGCTCCATGCTCACTTCTGCTCACTACTCCTTGAGTATGGCAACGGTACAGACCTCTGGGTGGGAGACAAAATGACAACGTTGCATAGTTTTGAGTGGAGTTTATTTTGCAGTTGGCAGCTGGCCTAGAGTAGAGGTGAAGATATGATGTGTTGTGGCTCTACATGCAGCAGGCAAGTAACCCTGCAGGGCTGTGTTTCACTCACTCTGTGATTCAGCAGCCATAAGCCCAGTACAGCAAAGTTGCTGGGGACTATTCCTCTGCCTCCCACACCAATGTGCCTGCTTCTGTGTCAGTGCTAGAGGGACACAGTGCCCTGTGATCCATCCCAGGGCAGTGTCTGCCCAGCCACTCTCCCCACCACAAAGTCCCTTACAAGACAGGGAGGTCAGGAGGTCACAGTGTCACAGTGCCCTGATTGCATGGCTGGTGCAAAAAGTTCCCAGCACAGACTTTCTCAAGCTATTTCCACCTTTTCTCTTTTTCCTAACACTGGCCTAAAATAAGTTTTATCAAACAGAAGTTACATCCTGAATGCAGCCATGAACATTTCCATACTCAGAGCTGTGACTGATCAACAAAACTCTACAGTGGAAGGAGGCTCTGAGAAGATGGGCACAGGCAATGCACTCATGACACTCAGGGAAGAATACAAGGAGCAACCACAGCTGTTGTAAAGAAAGCTGAACTTACCTCAATGGAAAAGGGATTGGAAGTGGCTTTTGGTTTATATTAATTGCCTTATCAGTTAAGTGATCAACTGGTTGTGTAGCTGGCCCAAGTTAATCAAACTGTGGGAATGTTTTCCTGACCCAGCCAGACCAGCATGGGGCCCAGCCCAATATAAAGAATAAAAACTAAGCAACCAACAGAATTAACTTTGAAGAGAGCTACAGCTTAAGCCGGCTTCAACCCACGTATTTCTTGCCAGTGCTTGGAGAACCCAGCACCATGATGGTGAGCACAGAGACCAGTAATGGGAATTTCACTTGCATTGTGATCCCACTGGATGTTGCAACTGCTGTACTGTGCTTGTATTGTGATTGCTGCTTCACTCTTCTAAATCAAAATTCCTTCCAACATAAAACGTCTTCAAATAAGTAAATTTGGTAACAACACATTAAACCCTGCTCATGTGGAATATCTAAAAGAGCCTGGTCAGACAGTACAGGACAAGAGAAGTGCCGGGACTGCAAGGCAGCATGGTCAAGACACACCTCACCAACCAGTATCCATCTCCAGTAGGGCTGGGTTTACTCAAAACAACATACATGGCGGTGTAACACAGAACAGTTTGAAATGGCCACCTCTTTGTAGCATCAAGGGGAGATGGGAAAGATGTAAGACAGGCCCATGTGCATAAGACTGTGTACAACTTGCCTACTAACTTAAGCCCACAACTTCATGCAAGCAAAAGACACAGGTGATACTCTTCTCTGACTTTGATTCAGCTTAATTTTTAGAAGCTTCAACAATGATAATAAGAAACCAACAACCTTGCATGTATCAAAAAGTATAACTCTAAATATATTTATTATTCAGTTACATTTGCTTTTCATTGCACAAATTTGGTTTTTATCCCCATGTTTTACAGTTTTTTACAAAGCTATTAGGAGTTTTAGAAACTGGTAAAATGATCACTTAAATCTATTTAGGCACAGTTCATTAACACATAACTCCATTTCTCCACTTTTTTTTTTTCTCAGTGTGAAAGATTTATGGTTGCATTTAAACTTCAAATCGAAACACATTTCACAGTCTACACTTTCAAGGGCATACTGTCTAAAAAAGAAGTTTTGATTAAATAGCCTCGCCTTATCAAATGTTGCCAGCAAAGGCTAAATGAAAGCAACCTCTTATGCAAAAATGCTGAAATCAACACAACCCTAAGATAAGAACCATGGTGGCAGACCATTTTCTATGCTTATCAGACATAGGATAACGAAGAAACAGTCCTCAAGAGAATTTTAAATCCCCTGAAAAAATTACTCTAACTTGGAAATAATTTAAATAATTTATTCTGTGTGAAAAATAAGAAAAAAAAAATCCAGCAAATACACATAGATGATAAGGAAAGTGTCATATCCCCTGGACTGCTGAGGCTGTGTCAAGTGCTCTCCCTTCTGATAATGATAGCTTGAAAAACAGTGTCATATCCCTGGGGCTACCCACTGTGAAAATGGCTTTGAAGTTCGAAGCTGTCAGGCCTGTTTGACATGGCTGAAAAACTGTGAGCTTCTAGATTTCTTATGTAGCTCTTCTCTTTGGTGAGAATGCCTGACCACTTCTGCTGTTAAGATTCATGTGTTTGGATTAAAGCTCTGTGTCTGGGGTGAGCTGCTTTTGCATGTAACTGCATATTGCAGAATGTTCCTAGGGTACAGGAAAGTACTTCTGAGAGGATCTGAAATGAGCTGAAGTTTGTTTCAACAACTTTGTTATTAATACATTAATTTTTACAAAAACAGTAGCGTGAAGTGACCAATGCTAAAGGACCCTTCCTGAAGAAAATGTGCAACTACCCCATCTCTGTAATGCTGCAGAAAGAACAGTATTTGTGACTTTTTTAGCACCCACACCTGTTGTTGCTATTTAGAAATGAATGAAATATTTCTGAAAGCTGGGTGAAGTCTTTGCAGCAGAGCAAAAGGGATGCCAGAGTCTTCATGTGATTCTTATATAAAAGTATTTAGTGCCCATGAGCTCCCTGCTGGCCAGAGGGGAATCTCACATGAGCACAGGCAGTGCACAACATTTAGTCTCTTGCTAAGGAGTCCGGTTTCTGGGAATTTTTTACTACAGAGAAATATTTTTTTTTTAAGACTTAAGATCTTCAGGCTTCAGGGAACTAGCAGGGCATAGTATTCATTCTTACATGTGTCACAACAGAGGTGCAGCTACACGTTAAACAACAGTTGCTTGCTCTGCTTGGGTTTAAGACATCTCCATAAGCTTTGCATTTGGGACAAGGAAAAACATTCCCCCTCGGGTGCTGCTGCTGTGCTCAGACCTCAGGGCAACTGACAGTGCGCTCTCTTGCTCCCTGATGTGGGAACAAATAAAGAGGAGACCGCCAGGTAACAATGAGGTGCACAGGTCTGTGCACTCCCTGGGTGCTGCTGCTGGCCCAGCTCTGCACATTGCAGGCAGACTGCATACAGCTGGCCACAGGTGCCAGCCCTTAAACCAAGGATGGGACCTACATCCTGCAGTTGCTCTTGCCCTAAGCAAAGGGCTGGGGAAGGCAGCGAGCTGGAGAGCTGGTGCTGAAGGGCAGAGATGAGTGTAGCTGCAGGACCTGTAGGGGAGACAGGGGCTGGACAACACAGTTGGGAAAAGGGAGCCTGCAGCTGTAGGTGACTGCAAGAATGGGACAAGGTGCTGGCACCTGGGAGCTAAGGAAGCAGCTGTTGCAGGCACAAGGACAAGCAATCCTCCAGCAGCTGGGGAGGGCTGTTTGTGACTCATCAGTCCTATGATCCTCCTGCAGTTGACACCACACTTCTAAGAACCACTGCTGAAAGGTCTGCAGTGGGTTGGGCATCCAACTCCTAACTCATCCTTTTAATCCCTCTTGGTAAAATCCCTGCAACACTGTGCAGCTTTAAATGTTGTCCTCATTTGTCTGATGAGCACCGGAGGACCATGGCCCCCAGCTGACCATGGCTGGTCTTTGGTAGAAGGAGCAAAAGAAGGCCACTGACTCAAAGGACCCAGAAACCTCCGCTGCATCTCTAGCCTCTCTGGTGAAAACCAGCCCACACCACCACCCCTTTAAAGTAAGACCTCTAAACACCAGCTCTTCTTTACCTATCACAAAAATGCTGGCCCTTAGCAGCCCCAGTGCAGCCTCCCGCTCGGAGCAGGACTATCCCCAGCACCAGGTCAGAGCAGCCATGGCTTTGCCTAGCCACCCAGCTGTAGGGACGAGCTGTGAGGCAAGAGGGGTGCATGAGGATCACTTTGGAGCTAGAAGTGCCCCTGAAGCTTAGCTGCAGAGTGGTCTCCCAGGGTAGGACAGTGGCCACAAGAAGCCACACTGCAGGGTCCAGGGGTAGGAAAAGAAGCTGGCAGCTGCTTTCAGTCTCCCATCTTCATGTCTTGTGGATGGGCAGCAAAACAGGTTGTTCCTAGAGCTCAACAGGTGGCTTCTCCAGGACCAGAAGAGCAAGATTTTCCAAAGTCTCTCACTAGCATTAATGCATGAGCTTCTGACATGAGTAAGCAGGCAAGCAAGGGGGAGCCTGAAGAAGCACAGCAAGTCCATCAATAACTGTCTGGTGATGATTAGGGAAATGTGACCACCACAAGCCAGGGAAGTCCATGCTGCCTGAAGCATTGATTTTTCCCTCCAGCAAAAACTCTAGGAGGAGTTATCCACATGAACTGGAATATGCTCCAGTTGCCAGGGGTGCAAAGATCTGAAGGCCAGCACCCTCAGTAACTGCCTGTGTCCGTGCAGAGGTTTCTGAGCTCCAGCTCCAGCTGTTTAATTTGGACATCTCTCTGGTTTACTAGCTCACGTAGTCTACGGATTTCTTCCTGTTGCCGGTAAAACATCTGCAAAAGCTGTAAGAAAAGTCACATTTTACTTCCTTTATGCTAAGAATACACAGACTTAACCTGTCAAATGCCACCTGTCAAGTGCTGTCACATCACTTCTGAGATAAATAGCATCTAAGGAGGAGGCCTTCAACCAACAGACAGTGCCAACCAGCCATCAGCAGTGCTCCTGCTGTCCACTAGCCTGGGCTATGAGTGTGAGCATTTCTCAACACCATTTAGTAATGCTACACCTGCTCAATTCAATTGAAAAGATTAGAAAAAATAACCTTCATACCGCTGATAACTCAAACAGAACCTAGACAAAGTGAGTATATGGAGTCTAAATTCCTGCCACATCTCCTACTCTGACCCCGGAGCAAGTCCTTTTACTTCTTTTTTCCTGTTGATCATGCTCTGTCCTCTCCAGCTGGGACTAGCATGGCCCTTCACTGTGCACACAGCAAAGCACCCAGCTATGCAGGGGCTGCTTCTGTAACCTTGAGGTGCCAGCTCAGAAACATGCAGAAGAATATTCTTTTTCACCCCACAGGGAAATTCAGCTGTGGAAATTCCTGTCCCATCAACTGCAGATGCTAAAATCTTGCAGAGCCAAAAAGGGGACCAGAGCACAGCTGTAGGAAGAAAATCCTTCCAAGGCTCTTAAAAGCAAACAAGCTGCATGCACTCAAAAAGTCCCCTGAGCTGCCAATGACAGGGGGCTTGCAAATCACCACAGAGATCTACCACTCTGCAAGTTTTGGGGAAGGGAGGGGGTTGGCCATGGCTGAAGACAGACCACATGGAGCTTCCAGGATCTTTTCTGAAGCCATTCCCAGAAGCAGGCTGTGACCAGCAGCCACCCTCAACAGCACTGCACTGCCAAGTTGTCCCCCAGCAGTGAGCTGCTGAGGCAGAGGCAGACCCAGTCCCTTTCCTTTGTCAGGGCTCACAGTAGTTAAGTGCTTAAAACTACATGGATGCACCATGGGCCAAGGGAGCAGAGTACACCCACTTCCACAGGTGTCCCTGCTGCCTCACCAGGCTCTCCGAGTGCAGCTCTCACAGAAGAGTTATGCTGCATAAACACACTTCTCTTATCTAGGACTTTCTTGCCCCCATCCAGCCACCAGGCCGGCCTGTGACACAAGAATACCTAAGAAAGAGGAATACTGATTGCTCCCTCCCTTCCAGACCCCTTCAGCTGGGGTGCTGCTGGGCCACATTTCTTCTTCCCATGTGGCAGCCAGGCCATGCAGAGCTTCTGCCACCACAATGAAGGAAGAGCTCGCACTGGCCTATGTCTACAAAATAAACCCTCGCTGTGTTCTGTCAGCTTGTGAACAGCATCCTTTTACCCACTGACTCTGGGCTTCCCACACAGCCCCAACCCTTCATCCCAGACATTCACACCTCATTTTCAGTTTTTGGTGATGGACACTCAAATACATCAAAGCCATTGGAGAGGCACATTTGTTCATTTTTCGGCAATTTCTCCTCCATTTTCAGATGCTTTCTCCTGTCTTCGATTTCACTTGTCTTCTGCATGTCCTCCAGTGGCATTCTTCCTCCCTGATGCTGGTGCTGGCTCTGGTCCATAGTTTTCATGACTGGCTCTGGCTCAAGAAACTGTGGTAAGGAAGTCACATCTCCAGAGCCTGGTCTCAAGGATACCAAGAGAGGCCCTAGGGAGGTAGGCAGGTGATGGGTTAGCACTCACAAACCAGACTCAAAAATTAGCTGTAAAGCAATTCATTCAAACAACCTGCAGGGATAAACATGGAAGCACTTGACTGGAGTGGCTTCCAGAATTCAACACTATGGATATTTTAGCCACCAAATTATTTTAGCTTACACACATATCTGTTATGTCTCTCCTTTTCCTCCCTTCCTCTTTCTCTGGCAGTTAACAGGCCAGAGAGCCAGTGGCAGCTTACCCAAACCCTGGGGAGTTGAAGGGCTGGGGAGCTCTCCATGTGCTGACCTTTGTTAACTCCGTTCAGCCACTCTTGTGCTGTCAGCGCTGGCTGGGCTCCTGTGGTCAAGGGGTAGATGTCTTCCTGGTATGACTCCGACTGTAAGCAAACAAAAGTCCAGAGTCACTGTGTCATGAGGTTTTGGCGTAGAGGGGCCATACTGTATTGTGGTGGAGAAATAACTTTCTTCCACCTCAGCACAAGGAGTGTCATGAACACTCAACAGCATGGACATAAAAATCTTCTCACCCACCCTGAGCCTCTCTCCTCACCCCAACTCAGAACTGCATCTGAAGGCCTATTTTAATTCCTGCCAGTAAGATCACTATACATACAGACAACAGTCTGGGGGAAGTTTGTGACAGAGGCTAACCCAACTCTCATGAACTCAGCAGTCCTGAGGATGAAGGAGTGGATATGAAGGATGGACACAACTCATAAACTATCAGCTGACAGAAACTGGTCAAGGAGGTAACACTGGAGGAACACTTGCATGCTGCAGAACAACTGCCTGTAACACAACTGTACCCACTCAGTAGAAACCTAGGAACCCATCATTCCCTTTTTCCTGGGGTGATTCTTCTTCCTTCCACAAGGAGATTTTCATGTCACCCAACTCCATCCCCAAACCCTCTCTCTCACTTTCGTCAGTATGTGAAACAGATGCCACCAACTGAGGAAGTTTACAGCCAGCTAATTGATCTGATAGTCAGAGACCCCTTGCTGCACCCAAGCAGAGCAGATCAGTGAACACATCTTAGAAAATTACTCATTACACAGAGACCTAGCTCTTGAGTTATCCAGCCAGGGTTTGTTGACAGGGCTGCCCATCAAACTGACCAGCTTTGTAATTCAGACCAGGAGAAAGAAATCCCTTGTTCTACCTACTCTCCTGCTCCCAAGAGTCACAGAGAGGAGTCACTGCCCACTTTTTCACTGATATTTGTCCCAGACATGAACGTGACCTGCCATTAACTCACCCGTCGAGGCACAATCATAGAGATGGGCTCAATCAGACTTTTAGTTGGTATCAATTTGTAGAAACGGAAAATCTCACAAGCTGATACTTCAAGGCCTCTCTTTGGCATCATTCCTGGTGGGATAGAATGAAACAAACAGGGTATTTATCCACTCAGAAAAGTTAATGTAATCCACCATGAAAATGGGGTCACCAAAAAACAAAAGGAGTCACAGCATCAGCTCCACAGCAGCATGGTCTGAAATCTGCCCCCAGAACTGGTTCAGTGGCACAATGACAAGACTAATTATTTTTTATCTGTCAGACCACCAAGTTACACACAGGGTCTGTGGTTTTCATGCTAAGTCTCCTGTTCCTTATTTATTCTCATGAGCTGCAAATAGAGTGACCAGGACTGTGCAGAATGGCAGGTGATGCCACTGGATTTGACTACCAGGATCACCAGGAATGGATTTCAGGACACCTAAACAACATCAGAATAGCTATATGGGTCAGGCTGAAAGCCCTTACAGCCCAGTATCCTTTCCCCAGCACTGTCTCAAAGCAGAATGGAGTATGAGAAGGGTATGAACATCTACTCAGACAGCACCATTTGTGTTTGAGGGACTGGCTAAGCCACGCAAGGTCAGAGGATTTCTCTCCCCTGAGCTTGTACATCCCAAAGCCTACAACCATGCCAATTCCCTTAACAAAAGAGATTGCCTGTCCTTGTAGACCTTGCTCCATGGTGTCCCACAGAAGCTTTGTTTTCTACTAATACCAAATTACTTCATTAAACAGTATTTTCTATGTGAAGAACTGTTGCTCCTTACATTATGAATTCATCTAAATGTGAATTCAAACTCCACTCCTCTACACTGTATTTTGTTTTGGCATTATTGGGAAAGAAGCTCTTGTGCAATAATCTTAGCAGTATTTTGATCAGCAGGATGGATCAGGTTAGAGGAGTAAATCTGATTCACTCAGGCCTTTTAAAAACACTTGTACACTTCCTTTTTATGGAATGACTTTTAAAGAGACTATGACAACATAAAATCAGGATGCTGTACATTGAAAGGATTATAAAAGCTGAATAACAGAGAGATTTTCCAATTAAGCTTTAAATATTTTATTCGTTTCCAGTAACACCTTTTTGAAGGAGAGCTGCAGACACAAAATCCAATGTTGCTAAATATCTGTACCAATGTCCTGGAAGAATGTGAGTGTCCACAGTTAGTGTGGAGGGGTTGCAAATGGTCCCAAACACACATCAGTCTATAGAGGAATATGGATTACAGGGACTGCAGAAGGTTCGAGAAAGGGCTACCAATAGGGTCTGAGGGCTGAAAGCCAAATTCTGCAGCTTGACTGAGTTAAACAGTGGGTAGTATGCAGACAGGTTAATAAGCTGGGTCAATAAAGGAGAGGTGACTTAATCACAGCATCTATCTCTAAATAGGAAATGCCAGTAAAGGAGAAGGTAAGCAAGAGGTAAGAGTGAATGCATTAAGATATGGAGCACCCATTACCAGAGAAATCCCAGAGTGGAAACAGTGTCAAGAGTTCAATGACAAAAATCTTGGAGCAGATTCACAAAGGGCAAGGAGCATCCTCCACCTTTAAATCCAAACTACCCTCCTCCCTTCCACCTTCACCTATGTGAGAGGGGATGCAGCAGTGTCTGGTAAAGATGCCTGGTCCATGCGCTGCTGGTCAGAAGGGACCCCTCCCAGCTGCGACCCTGTAATACCACCTGTGACATACAGGTGAGCTGGGCCACACATACTGTTGGTGCACCTGTAAACCTGGGTGGAGACTGGAATCTGACCCACTCTCTTTTCTACATGATATTTTGGATAGTCCTGGACTCTAACAGCCTCTAAAACAAAGAAGCTACTGTCCTCTTGTAACATTAGACATATGATGCCACTCACCAATTCCCTTCTGTGGTAAATGAGAATGATATTCCATCAGGTAGTTCAGGTATGGTTTCTCAGGGCTTATCTCATAGTACCGTATATTTCCATCACCCTAATGGCAAAGAAAATGAACATAAGCCAGGCTCTGCTGTTCAGCATGAGGGTCTGAGAACGTCTCACCCTAGAAACCATGCAGGGTCAAGAATGAACCAAATATTTAGTCTCAGATTCTTATATGGGAAGGTTAGGGCTCTGCAGTGTACCTCCCCACAGTAACATGGTACATCTGCAGTGGCAAATGTGGCTGAATGCTGCAGCATCCTCAGACCCCACTGCATCAGACCATATCCTTAGGTTAACATGCTTCAGGAGCAACTGTGACTTCAGCCTGAAACAACACAGGCCAGAAGAATCAGACAGGCCAGCATTTGCTGACATGAAAAGCACTTACCTTTCCCACCACATAAAGCATGTGCGTGTCTGAGTCATAGAATGGAAACAGGAGTCCTGAGGACCCATCCAGATCCTCCTCCAGTAAAGGCACAGAAAGGTCATTCTGGGCAGGACATAGAAAAAAAGAGAGAGCTGCCATCACCTTTCAGTCACCTGAAGTCCAGGACACCTTACCTGAACCCCACCTGGCAGCAGCATGTGAGCACAGCTCTATAATGATCCCAGGCCATGGCCAGCTGCCCTGATCAGAGGGCCATACACAGGCTTCTTCAGAGCTCTATGGATGGGAAATAGGTGCTCTGTCCCTTGCTCTTGACTGAGAGAAGCACCTCAGGACATCAGTCCCTATCACTAGAACATCTCAGGCACCTGATGACATTTCAGGGGTAGATATGGTAAGAATCACTGCCTGCCTCTGTGTGGGCTACCAAACTCAGGGAGATGGAGGGGCCTTCTGGGTATGTCTGCATCTCACACTGAATTACACATGTTCCCTCACTACCTCTAGTCAAGGCAACACCTCCACACTAGTACACCACCCACCACAAGAACAGTCATATCAGCCTCCACACTGCACAGTGGGAAGGTGCTCACTGCAAGGGCAAAAGCTCCCATCGGCCTTCTGCATGTAAGCCATGTAGGATATAGCACACCACTCCATACACAAGGCTGACATGTCTTATACAAAACTATACCGGCTCTGCTGAAGGGAGCAATGTCAGAAGGACCAGTGGGGCAGAGTATGGGATCCTGCGGCTGCCACTGTGGCTATTGTCACATAAATATGTACTTAGCATAGGGTTAATACATACTTTGTCATGCAAAACTGCCCAGCTGCAGGCTCCAGAAAGTCAGAGCTTATAGTTTAGATGCAATGATGACATGGGTAGACATGGACCTCAGAAAGATGCCTGCTGGTCAGGTACTGTGCCAATGCCTGTCCCTAAGGAGGCTGCACATACCTGGCCTCATAGGCCTTTCCACTGTGTTCTCAGACTGTGTGGCCAGCTCCTTCATCAGCTCTGAAGGCAGTGAAACCCTGACATGAGATCCATGATGTGTCAGAGCACTACTGTGGAAAGCCTTCAGACAGCAGCACAGTGCTTTGGCTCTCACATATGCAAAGAAGCCATGTCCAAACACAGACAAATGGCAAATCATAGACCTGGTCTACCAGCTTTGTCTGGTACAAAGGGTGACAGCACAACAAAGAGACACAGGATTGTGATGCACAGTGGTTGACATGGAGGGACAAAGTGAGATGCTGACACTGCATATGAGAGTGGTAGAAGAGAGCAGGGTTTCATAAGGCTAGCAGCAATCATGATAGGAGATCATGTCTTGAAAATAACCAGTAAATGCTATCTCAGTACTCTACTGTCAGGAATCATCAGAAATCAAAAACAGCCCACATCATTTCTTCACTGAGGGCTTCACTTTAGTAGGCTGTGTCTAGAGCTCATTTCTCTTTCCAGCACCAGTAACAATTTGCCAGTAAGACCACTAAGAGCTGCTTTTAAGTCAGAGCTACAGTGACCATTCAATCAATCAATCAATCAATCAATTATTCAATCCTTTGAATGATTTCTTCCTATAGTGGCACAGCATTCTCTTTGTTCTAGTAGATTTCTATGCTGAAGGCTCTGAGAGCTTCTTCAGAAACTCATACTTATTTAACAGTGTCATACTAGTAAGACCTATCACCCACTAAGACTTTGACAGATCACTTCTGAATTGCTGTTGTAAACCAATTCTTGGGTATTTGACAGGTGGAAAAGTTAAAGTGAGAGCAGAAGAGACAAAACAAACTGGTATGGTTAAGATTGCTGGTTCAACTCACTTGATCCCATAATGCAATTTGCCTATTATTCCACTGAGACGTTCCAGTAGAGAACAGCTTTTTCACGTTTCCAAGAAACAAGACTTTATTGACTTTGTGAGACTTGTAGCTTGCTTCCTATAGGAAGAGAAAGGACACTGCATGAGTAAGAGACAGCACCTGTTGCATAGGTACATTTCATGGTATGTGATTGTCACATCTGAAAGATCTGCTCAGCCTGGCTGAACTACAAGTGAGCAGAATTTCATGGGGATCTGAGAAAGGTGGCCTAAGCTCTTCAGGACCATTTCCAAAAGCCCAATCTCTCTAACTACTGATTCACATATTTGCAAGAGGGCAATCCCTCTTAGCTTTAGGCAGGACTTTCTGTGTACATAAATCTGTGCAAATACCTACAAAACAGAGTCAGCTTCACCTACCAACAAATATAATGCACAGTAACAAGAACAACCCTGCCAGTAGGACAAATGTACACTTGCATCCACCTGTGCAACTGATCTATACAAGCCCTCCCAAGGCATCCCAAAGAGGACTGCAGGAGGGATCTGTGAAAACAGTGCACTTCAAGAAGGGTTTCAGGGAGTAAGGAGCATGGCAACAAGAGCCCAAAACCCTGTTTTCAACAATGACAGCAAGCATTCCATGAAAAATAGGCAGCAATAGCACTGTCTAGTGCCTTGGGCAATGCAGGACACAGATCCATCTTCTTTAATGGAAATTAATCTACCCAGAAGAAGAAACACTCCAAGGGGTGAGATCAGTTGGACCACAAACCTCTAAACACAACATACTTGTAGGACTGTTCCTGCCCGAGGGTCTATCAGACGTATCTTTCTGTCCCTGCAGGCTGTGGCAAGGAGACTACCATCTGTGTTGAACGACATGGAGAGAACTACATCTTTGTGAGCATCGAGGATCTTCACTGGATTCGAGATGACAGCATCCTTGGTGTCAAGGTTCCAGATCATTATCTGGAGCAAAAGAACAAAAAAATCAGCCCTTTGCTGCCTGACCAACTGGGGACTTTGTGTACCCTATTCACTTCTTCCTCTCTTCTCTACATCTATAGGTCTTACCATTGTTAAGTGGTTGTTCTCCAGCATTTAAAATAATTCCTGGTATTTACAGCAATATACAGGGATACAGATACATACAGAATATCCAATATTCTGATTTCCTTTGCAACCACATTTTAAACATAAGAATGGCTAGCATCAGTGCAGATATTTGCACTAGCACAAGAATAAAGCCAAACAGAAGTGCATGGCATTTCATTTTGTATCCAATATAGTAAAGGAGAAGAACAGAGTAGACCGAAATTCATCAGAAGACTGGAAAATCAGCAAGTCCTTCTGAACTTGTAGTAATGTCTTTTTGGCTTTGGGGTCACCATGGAATTCACCCCTGAAGAAGGCTTCTGAACTCTTCAGTATTATCTTACAGCTTGAAATTAAACAAATTTCAAAACACTCTGACAAACAGCGTGTCCCAGGAGGAGAGTTGCACCAAGAAGACTCACCTTATAGTCATAGCCAGAGCTGAAGAGGATGTTATCAGCAGTGGGATGCCATTCAATGAGGCCCACTCTTCGAACATGGCCAAGAAGTTCCTTCTTTGGACTGGTAATGTTTCTTGTCAGCAGGTGCTTGGGGATGTCCCAGATTTTAACCTGAATGGCATAGGATGGGTCTTTGTGAGATTCCTGAGCAAGAAGCTCCACCAATAATTATTATTCCTTTGGTATTATTATTCTCTTGGTAGTGAATAGGAATGGTTCTGGCTTTTGTTGAATGCCAGTCCTTTATATTAGTGTATTTAGTTTTCTGTAAGCCTGAAGACTTCTCTTTACCCCTTGTCTTTAGCCAGCAGTTCTACCAGTTTGTTTTAACTTGACAATCCCACCTTTACATCTGGGCAAGCTGCCAGCATAATTACAAAAAGTTATTCCCAAGAGTAAGGAGTAAATCACAGATATTGAGGACCTTGCCTCCTAACAAACTTTGATCAGGAACAAGGAAGTCTGAAATAAACTTCAGCAAAGAGTCCTGAAAGATGTCATAGCAGTGATTGATCCAAGCAATCATCCACTTAGGACAACCTGGTAAAAGAAACAAGAACTCACCCAGCTAGATGGCAGCTATATTACTGTTTGTCCCCTACAAAACTGCACAGTGTTGAACACTTTGCAAATGACATGGCCATTTGTCAAAGTACACAGAAATCCACCCATGTGGCCCCATGGCAGATGCCCTGAGCAGAGAGACTGGGCAGCACCGCACTGAAGTTACTCAACACTGTGCATGTGCTGTCTCATAATATGTCTACCTGCAGCCATGCGTTCTTCTAAAAGGATGCTGCATGAAGACAAAAATCCTCTGTGCTCCTGGGCTGGAAGAAGACAACAGAGGAAACCTGCAAAAGGGGCTGAACCTATGCAGGTAAAATGAGTCTTTCTCACACTAACCCCAGCAGCACAAGTATTTAGGATGTTAACAGATTATTAACTTTTGGCTCCATGAAAATTGCTATGCTTATCACAAATTTTCTAGAACTTTGCCTGAAGTAGAAGGGAAATGCTCTTTGAAGCAGATAGTTTGTGGAAATTAGCCACACTTGCCCAAGTCTCCCACTGTTTGGCTGATGAGGATCACACCTTTCTAAGCATAGATTCTGGGACCTGCTGGGAAAGATCATGAGCACCCTTCTCAACAGTGTTTATCCCATTGAGGAATCAAGCCCATCAGTAAGGACTGTGGAGTTCTGCAGTCTCCAAATGAACTTCTACAGCTGTAGAGAAAGCTTCACACTCTACAGCTTCAACTGCTATCACTAAAGGAATGGGGCTGAGAGAGTAGGAAAGGGAAAAATAGATTGTGTTCACACTGAGAACTGCCTAGAATGACCCATTCACTCCCCATGCTATGAAACAGTTGGTAATAAAAGCAGGGAAAAGTCCCTGGCTGGAATCTCAGGATGCATTAAATGGCAGAAATTGCCAGTGCTTAGTGTGCAGAAGAAGCAGATCTTGGAGCCAGACCTGCCAGGCCAAGCAGGAACAATCCATGAGCCATCTACCCTGCTGCATCTTGAAGAAAACCTGACAAAGCATAGCAGAAGGCACAGAGTTGCCTCCCTAACCACAGGGGAGAAGATCTTCAGCAAGCTGAATTCATACATACACAATGATTTTCCAAAAGGAACAGAAGCGGTAAAAAGATAAGCCTTCTCCTCATACTGTTCAAAATCTCAGCCCCTAGCCACTTGCACTGGGCCTCAGTCCTAAGACTGCAGCAGTGGGAACTGAAAGGGCACAGAGTGTTTACAGAGACTATCCATCTGTGCCCAAAAGTACCATTCTACAAACTTCAGATATGCACCACAAAAGATAGCTGTGGTACCACCAACATAAACTCCAGAAAGACTGGTTAATGGCCAAGAAATCTCCAAGGAATGCGGGTGAGAGGAAATTTCCACCATCTTCACAGAAGCCTGCAGCCTTCCTCAGAAGTTCTAGGGAGAGCTAGCCCAGTAAGAGCAATGAATCAGATGCATCCCTGCACACAAGCCAGAACAGTGGCTTATTGTAATGTTCAGAAATGGCAGAGAGCATTAGGACTTCAACAACAGACTTCAAGGAAGGCTTTGGCTCTAATGTCAAGCCCAGTGGAAGTGGTAGACACCTCTGGGACCCCAAAAACTTCCTCAGACTCCTCTAAGGATAGAGAAAGTGTTGCTGTGGAGATGTTCCAACAGAATGTCCAGTTTGAGCTCTCCAGTACAGGCCAAGCTAAGTAAAAAAGATGTTGACCCTATGCAGTAAGTCCAACTGAGGTGAAGAGGGGATGGGAGCACAGCAAATCTGAGAAGAGCTGGAAAGGAAAGATTTGTTCAGTCCAGGAGCAAGAAGGCAAAGGTGAGCAATTCTGGCTGCCCTTCAGCTACATTGAAGGAAGGCACAGAGAAGATGGAGCCAAACTCATTGTAAGTGCACAAGGAGTGCACCAAAGGCAATGGACACAGATGGCAATATGGGCACTCTCTGAAGATCAGAGGTACCGTTTTTTCTCAGTGGCCAAAGGATCTGTAGCCTTGATCTTCCCGATTCATCTGGTCAAGGCTTGGAGCAATCTGATTCAACTGGCCAGATAAATGGCCCCCACAGGTACCAGGAAGGACAGTCACACTAAGAAACACAGTCTGCTGTCCTCACTACTTAGTGGGGAGGGAAGTGACACTGTGTCACTATGCAGGGGACCCCTAAGATCCCATTTCCTGGTGCCAAGATGATAATGGGAGGGGTAGTACAAAAAAGAGTACAGTCATGAACAGCAAGACTTCTTAGAACAACTTTTGGTATAGAGACCAGTGACAAGCTGAGTGTTTCCATTCTTTAGCCTGGAGAATGACCCAGTGCCAAGTTTCAGTAGGAAATTGAAAAAGAAAGCTAACAGAGAGCGGCCCTTATGCACAGACCGCAGGGTCCTGGTGGACAGTAGAATAAATATGACCCAGCAGCAAGCCCTGGTAGGGATGAAAGCGAGCAACATCCTGGCCTGGAACAACAGGAAGATAGTCACTAGATCAAGTGAAGCGACTTTTCTCTTTACTCAGCAATCATTGAACAACAGCTGGAATACTGTATCCAGTTTTGCAACTCCCAGTGGAAGAAAGATGCTGATAAACATAAGTGAATCCAGTGGAGGCCACCAGGATGCTCAGGAGGCTGTAGCACTTGCCCTGTGAAGAAAAGCTGAGGGAGATGGGCTTGCTCAGCCTGGAGAAGAGACAGCTTCAGGGCAAACCAATAGAAGCCTTCAATACTGACAAAACTATTGAGAAAACAGAGCCAGGCTCCGTCTTGAAGTGCAAGGTGGGAAGACAGGATACTGCAGTCACTACACTGGGGGGATTCTGATTGCATATAAGGAAAAAAATTTCTCCATAGGAGTGGTGAAAAACAGGAACAGGTTGCACAGACAGATGGTGAAATCTCCATCCATGGTGGTTTCGAAGACTCAGCTCCACAGACCTGCACAGGAGGTGGGGGTAGAGACCACCCAAGCTCCTTTCAGCATGAACAGTTCTGTGATTCTGTAAGTGCAGCAGGAAGCTTCAAAGCTTGTGCTAATTCCTCATCTGATGCTCAAAATAGAGGTCAAAGTGCTGCGTTCCTGCCACAAGTCCTTTCTGAGACAGCATGAAAACCTAGCATACAGGTTGGAAGATAAAATAAAGCCCTCACATGCAGCCCAGAAATTGAAAGAAGCCTTCAAAAGAGACAAGAATATCCAAAGCAGCAAAGGCAAGCCACTAAACAGGAAGGACAATTCAAAGAGCCTATATTTCTAATTCAATAATAATTTTTGGCAGGGCTGAAATGGCAGAGGATGTGCACCAAGCCAGGGCTGGAGGAAATGACGTGGGAAAACTCCCTGATGTTGTGTGGCAGAGGGTGAATGTATCCATTGCAAGAAAACACATGTGGAATCTCTGGAAAAAGCACAGTAGTTAGTCAGATGTCCTCACTACCACAGAAGTCAATGTCACACTTTTCACAGGACATGGAACCTTTCAGTGGGCAGATACGGGCTAAACTGTCCCTTACAAACACAGATTGAATCTTTCAATTCCTAATAACTAGTCTGCACCTGCAATGGAGTAAAATATGTGACCGCAACTTAATTACACTAACTTCAGCCAAACCACTTATTGCAGAATAGTATGACACAAATTCCTCAGCTACCTCATAACTGATCCAGCATGACTTTACAGAGTGCAGGAACAAGCTCATACTTGCTCTGCAGGGAATTAATCTGAAATAGCTGTTCCAGATTACACTGTGTTGAAGCTTTTATTCTAAAGTAGAGTTTCATAGAGATTAAACTTGAATAGTCATTCCATTTTAAATTCATATTCTGTTTTTCTCGTGCAAACACACCCAAAACGACACAAGCTCCCCAAAACCAGATCTTCCTCCTCACAATGACTTTGGTATATCACACAAGTATCACACAGGCGTGACCTCAAGAGAAAGAAAGGAATCTTACTCTCTCCTGATTTTTTTTATAAGTACATATATGCTTTCACATCTCATCCCTGGGCCTTTTGGTTTCATTTCTTTCACAAAAAAAGCACATTAGCCAGGTAATAATGCAAAGTACAAGCTGATAAACTTACTGTGGCATCTTCTGAACACGAAGCTATTACAAAGTCATTGAATGGGTTCCACTTGATGTCCAGAACATTCCCTTTGTGCCCACATATTTTGGGATAATGTGGGTCGAGCTTGCCTGTCTGAAAAAAAAACAAATATCATCAAAACTAAAGTGAGGCATGGAATTACAGGATATTTTCAAGGAAGATCCAAGCCAGCTCCAGCAAGAAACCTCTTTCTGCTTATTATGCTCCAAATGTCCTGGGTGTTCTCTATCTGTTGAGAATGGGCTTTTGCTGTCCCTGCAAGGCACTTCTTGATGATACCACTGACAAGAAAGGGAAGAAGTGCTCAGGCCCTCTTAAGTACACACTGCTATCAAGAAATCTGTGCACATGCAGCAATCAAGACTGCTGAAGTTAGATAAAGATCTCGGGCAAAAAAACAAACCAGAATCTCTTTCAGAAGACATTTCCTGTAAGTAGGGAAAAAAAATCTTTTAGCTTTTACTTTTTAGCCTCATCAGCTAGCATTTATTTTATTTGTTAAACAAAAAAGACATTTATGACACAAAGTACAAATGCAATTTTTCTTTCAACAAGCTATCTATTTCTCTCTGATGGTATTTTAATCTAGCCATTCACTGGATTCAATCAGGATTCCAGACTCTCAAAAAAAATGTCATGTTTGGATGGGATCTTCACTGGTAAAAATCCCGCACAAAGGACACTCAGGGGTATTGAGGGCCTTGTGCCACATGGGGGCTGTGTTGCATCAAGATAAACCCATACTGCTGGCACAGTTGCTACAAAGTCAAATCGGTGTATGTGTTAGGTGCTAGGAAGGGTGCTGGGGATTTCATTAACACTGAAGCAGCACTCGCTTCTCCCTGTCAGGAGCAGAAGTATGGGGAGCTCCAGGACGCACCTTGCATCCCAGAAATCTGTCCAAATGTAAAGGGGAGAGCCATGGTGGCACACTGGTGATGCTTACTTGCTTGCTTTTATCCAACCTGGAAGAACTGTAAATCACAATGAATGCAAACTCATGCTCTTCTGGAAAGCAGATACTTCTGTTGGTGGGCCTTAAGAGTGCACAGCAGAGGGGAATCAGTGCTGGCCCTAACCTAGATGTGTCTAGGATGTAATCTTCCCGGCCTTGAAAATCTGTACCGCTTTGAAAGTAGAACAGGACATGATGTGTAACTATTCTGGCTTCACTGGAAAGTTTGTCACATAGACTGGGACTAACCTGATTTAAACTGAACACCCAGAGGACTTTGAAATGTAAAAGACTGCTTTTTTACACTACAGTCTAAAACAATTCCCTTTTATAACAGCGACAATGCAAAGTGACTTGGGAAGGCAGAAGAAAGATAAAAGGCCTTTAATAAGCAGCGTTCCCCCACCCACGGTGTCCTTTTGTAGGCTTCAGGGCTTGGTTTCAAGCTGGCTGGGCAATTCAACGGGCTGGGCAGCCAGCTCCACAGGGATCCCTTGATCCCTATGGGAACTCTGTCCCCTCCCAGAGCTGGCTGCCTGTCTGTTCCCACTCCATCTGGGAGACTCCCAGGCTGCCCCAAGCCTGCTCTGCCTACCCCATCCTGCAAGGCTCTCCTACACCCTTGTCCTCAGCAGTCTCAACTAGCTGTCAAAAGGGAGCCCTTGCCCTCCCAGTCACCAGACCCACCTGCCCCAGTGCAACCCTGCAGCCCTGAGACAAAGCAGGACCCACAACACATGAACCCCCAGGCCGCCAACAAACATGTGACAGGTAGAGCTGTTGGTCTTAGATGCACATCTGTATGTAGAAGTGAAGCTCTTTATGTGCTGGGGGAAATTAAATTCTACAGATTGAAAACTATTTCAGTAACTAGATATGTTGTCATTCAAGCAACACCTGACTTCCACAGTTATGTGTAGAGCTTGAAAATGAGTAATTTTTCAACCACTCGCTTTCTAAACTCCCAGCATTTTTGAAAAGTAGCCAAAGTCAAAGTTCTTTGACAAAAACTAGTTCTAGTGGGACAGTTGTTAAAACTCTCCCAGCAGATTTGTACAGGGTAGATTACTGTGAGATAGGTCAGCCTCACCTCTCAGGTGTTCTCCAAAGGCCACTAACACACCTTAACATCACATCACAGCACAGCACTCACATATGGCATCAGTTAGGTGAGGCCTGAGGGGTCATCACAGGTTTCATTTCATAGTCCTTGACTCCAGAGAGAAGGAAGCAGGGCTTGTGTCTAGGAGGTCTACACAACGACAGATGTCCTCCCTTTCACACCTGGTGCTGACACATTGAAAGACTGGAGACTGCAAAGACTTGGACACAAATAGCTCCCTGTCTCTTGAGACTTAGTTCTCATTTTGGTATCACTCTGCTTTATGCTGCAAAGGAAGAGACAGACAGTCTCAGCTAAGTCTGGTCATCAGAGAAGGAAAAAGGCAGGTCTTTGTCTTTCAAAGAAAGGCCACAAAATTGCCCTCTGAGTCGAGATCCTTCCTAGGCATGCAGTGCATGCATTTCCCCAGCACATCTGCCAGAAACCAACCTACACCCAGGTCACACTATGGGAAAACAGCTCATCTCCCAGTTAGTCACTCAGCCCAAGTCTCCTCAGACTTGCAAGATTTACAAAAGCATTCAGTCTGTTCTGGGCACCAGGCAGGCCCTGTGGCCACAGCCACTTCCCTCCCTGGTGAGCTGTTCTGCCATTCCATCCAGCTGGCTGAATTCAGTAGCACATCTTCATAAGGACCTGACACATCCAGCAACAGAAGACCATTCTCCAAGTGGTGGCAAATATTCAACTAATTCCTCTTCAGGTTGAATGCAAAGGTCTGCTGAAAGGAAGCTAGCTATGGCAAAGAGCTCTTTGCTATATAACCTCTGCTGCTCCCAACCCTACCACCAGGCTCTCAGAGAGGAAGAATGGTGGCGAAGGCAAGAAGTGGTATTTGTTCAAGGAGAAAAGAGAGAGATGGATGTCCATGACTTAGCAGGAGAGGAGCACAACAAACAAGCAAGAAGGCATGGTTAAACAGAGCGAGATTGAGCCTGCATTGGAGCATATTCTGAGGCAGGCAGCCTCTCCAGTAGCACATGCAGAATTAACTCAAAACAGCATTGGAAGTACAAGAGCAACTTCCCAGGCAGGCTGTTCAACCTCCCTGGAAAGTGCGGCTTTCCCTGTCCCAGCTACGATCTCCCGCTTTGGTTAAACATGATCTCCTGGCTCTTGGGCTCTTCCTCCAGACTGTGGCATGCTCAGGATGTGGCTACTCCCTGTGAATCCAGTCAAAAGTAACCACAGATCAGCTGGCCATCATGAGAGGGCAATACCATCCCAGGCACATGTCTCCAGACTGAGCTGCCCTGGCAGCTAGGGGCACAAGCTAAGATCCTAGTACACTTCTACCATGGGTCACCACCACAGGAGGAGGTGGCAGCAATAAACACCACCACCAGGAGCACAAGACAAAAGTTGCTGCTTTTCACCAGGTGGCACCAGTTTGGAAGCATATAATGAAAAAAAGTAACTGGTATCAGACCCCCCAGACTCAAGGAACCTCTTTCTGTGGCTGGCTGAGGCTGCTCTCACCCCACGGCATGGGTCAGGAACAGGTGTTGGAATTAAGAATTGGTGGTTAGCAAAATGTAAATTGACCTTGAGGTTAGAAGAATGATTGTGGATAACTGAGGCAACATTACAGAACACCATGCTGTGTGAAAACCAGCACTAAAAAAGACCACCTGCAGAGTGTGGTCAGTGTGTGAGCAGTAAACAAGTAAAACCTGGAGGTCAGTAAGATGCAAAAGTGAAAACGAACCTATGTAAACAGGTGGTAATAAATTGGGAGCTTGCATACAGTGCAGAAGCATTGCTCTTGGTGATGCTCCCCCTTCAAACTTGAGTGAGTTTGTCATTACTCAGCGCATCGCCCCGATCCCAGCTGGTCCAAGACCAGCAAACAGGTAATCAGAGAACAGCTGTACAAAGCACAGTGCATACAGATGCTCTCCCTGATCCACCACCAAAGGTCAAGCCTCAAGGGACTTCCTGATCTACCGGAACAAACGTAGTTCATAAACCAACTTCTCTCTATAACTCCATCCTGTTTGGAACCCTTTAAATTCTTCCTGGTTTGTCAGTACCCAGAGCACTGTGCTCCACATCTGAACCGCAGAAGCGTTCCCATCTGCTGCTAATGGTCTTCTCCCTGGCCTCCGGGATTCCCACCCCTTCACCTCACAACTCAAGACAAATTGCTCCTCGTGCTTTTTTCCCCACCCTCTTCACAGTTTTATATATGTTGCCAATTTGTCTTTTTTCCCAGACTGATTGATGCCTAACCTATAGAGCCTTTCCTCACATGAAAGACGTTTCACATTTTCATTGACATACTTAAATTATCCTTTTCTGTATCTTCTAGTTCTACCATGCCTTTGACTTCTGTAAGCAATATTTCAGATGTGGGTAAAGTATCTGAGCAGATGTTAGAAATGGAAGAATTGCTACTGAAGACTAGCCAAGCTCAGAAAAGCTGTGAAAATAAAAGAATTAACAGTAAGCAGTGCAAGCACCTTCAGCTCATTTTGCCAACACTTTGAAAACTAGGTCCCACCCCATGTCCCACAGTCACCAGCTGCCTGCTTATAGATGCAGCTCTGTGATAAAGACAAGTTCTTCAGCCTCAACAGATCATGGTCTAGGGGGCAAAAGTGACTCAGTCAAGAAAAACAGGGTAGTGGTTAATTTTAGAAGGACAGTCTCTGAACAGCACCAGTGGTGAAAGAGATGAATAAACAAAGTCTAGAAGGGCCTGGAACTGTGCTAGGTTCTTCAAGCATAGCCAGTTCGCTTTCATCCTTAGCAAATATATATTGAAACAGTAGCATTGCAATAGCACCATCAATTAACTTTTAATTAAAGGCTGAACTTTTGTCTTTCATCTGTTCTGCCTTGATTCCAGAAAGCTCATAATCTCATATTGAAGTTAATCCACATTATGCATGCCTAATTTTTCTGAAACAATAAACATCATAAAGACAGCTTCTCCCTCTCATCAGAGCCCTAAGTCATCAAAACCCATAAACATGGGATTTGTTTCTGAAAAGAAACTTTTTACAGCATCAGTACTCAAAGTTTAAGAGTTTCATTGCCTGATAGCCATGTCTCCATTCCTTCACAAGGGAAAAGGTAGAGCAAAACATAGTATATTCTCCTTTGATCACAGCTGAAGTCATGACACTAAGGCACCTTTCAGGTTTTGCCCTCTGTATCTACTAACTGCTTTTTTATTAACAATTTCTCTGAGGAGACAAACATCTGAACAGCATAGTTTCTACTGCTTATACAAGAAAGACAAATGAGCTATAAAATTAAGGAAAGTGTTGAAAATTTGCAAGCAGCAATGTAGACACAACCCAGGAATCACCTGCCAGGGCATCTGGGACACCTTCCATCATTTTGCAATTTGGGCAACAGCATGAACTGAATACCCTCTGTGCAATCTAGCTCCCTAGAAAGCCCAGCTCTCCTCTAGCCTCTCAATGCACTCTTGCAAGCCAACTTGTCTCAGTGGAGCTCACCTGGTGGATGGGAATGACAAGGAAGGCCCCCCCACCCGCACACTCGGTCACCACCGCAATGAAGTGGGGGTTCACAGCACAGAAGTGGTTGTCGTGGACGTTGCGGGTGATGGGCACGCAGTCATAGCACTTCTCCTTGCTGGCAGCTTTGCCATACACATGGCGAAACTTGGAGCTGCGGTACTGTGGGTGCCACGACATCTGCAAGGAAAGAAACATAACACTCCATCACATAAGGATGGGCCATCCTGGCAAGGCTTGCAGACCCCCACTTCCCTCTCCCCAGCACAGGCTCACCGTCCCTATTGGGCTCCTCACACCAGCCCTCAGCTAGCAAGTGGCAGCCCTGTTTTTCTCTGCTGATCTTCAGCCCTTTGGATGCCCTGTCTCTGCACTCACTGCGTACTCTGATGAAGATAGGAGAGTGCAGGAGAGAAAAGACAGGTCTCTCCATTACCAGCCAGCTGGCTGTGCATGCCCAGCAGTCCCTGTCATGTCCCACTCAAACAAGAGAGACGAGTGACTTAGATTCATAAATTCCCAATGGAGTGGACAACAGCGAGACAAGTCTCAAAGTTCAAACATTTATTAATTTCCCACAATGTACTAACTGGATACACAATAATTGACCAAGTACATAATGAGTTATGGCAAGCAATATAATATGCCTTTTGTTACCTAATGATAATAAGGAAAAAGAGAAAAAAGAAAAGAGATAGGTAGAAATAGTGATCACTGGCCTGGATTCCTGCATCAGTCCTGCCAACAAGGGATGCATCCATCTTCTTCTTCCCTTCCACTACTCACCCCCCCCTCAATTTATACAGACTTATCTCTCCTCTAGGTCAACCTACCTATCCACATATCCCATGTATGGGGAGGGGTAAGGTGTTTCATGGATGATGTAATTAGCATGATCTTGTTAATCTTCATTAGCATATGCAGAGGTGTCAACTTTAATATGCATTTTGCAGATAATGAAGCAAAGGTCATTCACTGGACAGATGGCCCTTGAAACTTTACAAGATGCACCAGAGTGGAACCATCCTGCCTTCACAGGGCTCCCTCCTCCAGCCGCATCCTGTGCTATCCAGGCCGCCTTATCAGCTCCAAACTGCACACTATCCACCTGTGACTGTAGTTTCACTACTTGCAAGTGTTTGAGATGTTCGTTGGCTCAGAATATTCTCAGGCTGGTTTTTGTTGCAGACCTGTTTCTCTTAGGCTCTGTTTCGAGGAGTTACAAGTCATCTCTCACAGTCCCTATCACTGGGTCAGGGCCACATGGCAGCAATTTTAAGAGGAGATGAATCCTGGTAGCACAGAACTCAGGAAGCATACGAAAAATACAACATCTTGGGTGAAGAAAGCCTGAAAGATGGTGAGTGAACAGGCCAGTCTGGATTCATGCTTCATTTAGCCCTCAGGTGATTCGGGACCAAAAAGATGCCTGAGTTTTGCTCACATGAAGGGAAAAAAGATGTTTGACAGATCATAGGAATAGTTACAGTCACCTGGTGGTGTTTTTCCCACTGACAATGATGTTCTGCATGTCTGGTTTATAACTGTACCACAGCCCTCTGAGAGACAACCTTTTAAGTGGTGTTTAAACAAGATACATAAAGCATGCTAAACCCAAGAATCCCTTCCTATAGAGAGCAGTGAAGCTTAATGGAACTCATGCAACAGATTTCAAATAGGAAACTATCAGCGTTGGGCAGAAAAGGCAATTCAGACTACTAACTCCTGCTCTTTCCACAAGACCTAGACAGTAAAAGGCACATGGTGGGATGGTGAGAAGATTGTGCTGCTGAAAGGAAAAGAAATGCAGATCAGGCAAAAAGGTTATGGGTGAAAAAAACCTACACAATCAGCTGGGAGTATGGGGAAAGACTGGAAGGGGGCTTGTTTTTACTCCATACAAATCTGTTTAACACACATGTGGTGAACAGTATTATCAGTGATGCTGGATCAATGGTACTCCAGTTTAAGAGGGGAACCCAACCAAGCAGCTTTAAGTTACAGCAAGACTTAGACTGTTCAGTCACGTGGGTAAGCATTTCAAGGGAAACTTGAACTCAGTGGTAGGAAGCCAAGTGCATCATAACCTGACAAGCAGGGTCTAAGCAATTCTAACCAAAATGTCTTTGTTGCTGGCACAGTATTGCATCCTCCTGGGATGACTATTAAATGCTAGGAATCTGTATTGCTTGATCCTGATCAGTCAAACTGGAGCTTTACAAGCACCCATCAACACAAAGATCCACTAAGCTCACATCCCACATTCCACGGTAAGATCTGGGCTGTGAATAGTGCTAGGACACAAGTCCTGTGCTATTCCCTGCCTCTCCCAAAACACTGGCACAGCTCAGAGCCAACCCCACTCTGGACAAATGCACATACCTGTAAAAAATCAGTCCTGGCAGATCACCGGTTGCTTCACAGTCATTTCTGTTGCTCTCTTTTACCGTGGCATGTTTTACCTATATTAACCCTGCATTTGTCCATATTCTTAGCTGGTTTGATTTCTTGGTGCAGAAAACATTACATGCAAAGGATCCCTGATACCATGAGGGCTACGTCTCCCAAACAAAAAAAAAAAAAGAAATGCAAGTTATTTGACAAAGAAAGCAGCGATCCTGGGAAACTAGTCTTGGAAGAAGGGATGTTCACAGGCAGAAAGAAAGCTGAGGTGATATAGGTAGCTCCCCAAACAGCCCCAGAGATGCAGCATTCTCAAACAACTTCATGCTCATTACAGTGGTTAGGTTTACTCACACAGGGGGGGTGGGGAAATCACTGTATTGTCTGAAGGCAGATATTCCTTCTTATGGCAGAACATTATCTTTCCAAAAGGAAATTAATTGCCTGGCTCCAAGGAATTTCTAGCTAAACTGCTTTTGAGGTGGGAGAGAGTGTGTCATCTGGAAGTTGAAGGCTCCTTTGCAGAAAGGAGTTATCAAGCACACAGAAAACATTACTGCCATACTGCTCCTACAGAGAGAAGGAACACACAGCAAGATACTGACATCCTATGCAGACTACCTGTAAAATTTTAATAGCAAATAAGGAAAAAAGGAAATAAAAGGAATTAAATGCCCAAGTTTGGACAGTGCTTGGGAAAGACAGCTCCCACCTATTTCAATTTACAGAATCACGGTTCAGCTGCCACAGGACTGGACTTCAAAACACCTACAATTTGGACAGCAGGGCAAGATATGACTGTGAAGATCATAAAATGGGCAAAGACAATCCCAGAAAAACACTGTCCCTCTTGACATGATTGCAGCCACAACAGAAAGCTCAGTATTAAAAGAAAAAACTCTTGGATAAAATATGGCAAAAACCAGCTTGAATAGGGGCAGCATTAGGAGACTGCATCTGGTACAGGGAGAGACTGCATAGGGTACAGGGGGAGACTCTGATTCCAAATAAAGCAGACATATGGACATAAGGAAAAGCTTGTTTGGAAGGAGTGTGGAGTGTTCTGCACGAGAGGTTTCTCAAGTGGTGATAGGTCTCCATTCCCAGAAATCCTTTCATTACTTGATGAGACAAAGCAATATCCTCCTTGATCTAATGTTCCTAATAGTCCTGCTCTGAACAGGAGGTTGAACTGGAGAAAACCAAGGTCGTGGTGCCACCAAACCGTACTGAAACCTTATCATTTACAACTGCAAAAGCTCACATCTTCACTAAGTAAAATAAGCCCCTGTGTGTAGAGCCAATCTGCTATGAGTTGCAGACAAGATGTGGATCCTCAGCAGAAGACAATCTTCCCGATGGCTGTTAATGAGCACAGCATGGCCAGGGCTCTGACAGATCTCAGCTATTAGACAGTGCAAGCTATGGTGCCTGCAAGAAGATCCTTGCAGAGGAAAGAGATCACCATTCCTAGAAGTTCTCCATCAAAGTTATGTATAACTGCAGGCCCAATACCAAATGCATAGGTGGGTGAATAGGTACTAAAAGGACTACAAAAACACTTATACCCCAAGCAGGTCCCCACTGCAGTCTGCCTTCATGCAGTTTGATCAGATCTGCTCTTCCACTGCTGTCAGGACAATACAGGACCCAAGTCACAGGCCACTGGTAGCCCTTTTCCATCAGCAGTCCTGGCCCAGCCTCTTTGGTTAGCTCCTGTGCTTACATGGCAGGATAGAAAGGGTCCTCAGTCTACAGCTACAAGTCCCTTCTTTTGTTTTTCTTCATAAAGCAGCAGGTTTCCCAGTTTTCTTCTTCTCCTCTTTCTACCTTCCCGGACAGAAGGGATTGGTTTATTCACTCCTCATCTTGTACTTCAGCCATCTTGACAACCCTCTACTCTGTTCTGCTAGACACAATGATATATTTGTTCCTGGGAGAGACAATGTGACTGACTGCCTTGTCCACTCTCCAGGGCTGACAGTGCAGCAGAGGGACTAGCCAGAGGAAAGAGAGGCATCTCCACTCCTTCCTCTCAACAAGGATAGCAGAAAGCACCATAATGAAGGCAGAGCTGGGAAAAAAACACTCATGGCGAGGCAAGGGGAAGAAGCATGGTTTTCACAGCATCTCCCATGCAGGGGCCAGAGAACCTACTAGTCCAGTTGGCAAAAAGCTAGGCTTGCCTCCTTACACAGTGTCCTGCTTTTGACTGGGATAGAGTTAATCTTCTTCCTAGTAACTGGTACAGTGCTGTGTTTCAGAACTACTGTGAGACTAATACTGAAAACACACTGAAGTTTTAATTGTTGCTAAGTAGTGAGTGCTTCTCCTAAGTTAAGGATTTTTCCTTTTCCCAGGCTCTGCCAGCAATCAGGTGTACAAGAAGCTGTGAGGGAGCATGGCCAGGACAGCTGTCCCGAACTAGCCAAAGGATATTCCATACCACAGAACATCATGCTCAGCATATAAACTGGGGGCAGCTGGCAGGGAGTGGATCGCTGCTTGGACATTGGTCAGTGGGCGGTGAGCAATTGCACTGTGCATCACTTCTCTTTTCTTGGGGTTTATTTCTCTCTTTTTTATTATGTTCCTTTCCATTACTATTATTATTTTATTATTGTTACTGTTATTTTTTTTGTTATTAAACTGTTCTCATCTCAATGCACAAGTTATACTTTTTTTCCAATTCCGAGTGAATGAGGGGCTGCATGGTGCTTATTTGCTGGCTGGGGTTAAACCACGACACACAGGTGTCAGAAAAGGCAGCTCTGTGA